GAGAGAGAGAGAGAGAGAGAGAGAGAGAGGAAGAGAGCCTGCTGTCTGGGCTGGGGTTTGGTGAAGTGCAGAGGGAGAGAGACAGAGATACAGGTGGGGTTGGGGGTCCATCTAGCCCTTTTCAATCTGGCTTTGGACCTGATTCTGTTGCTGTTCATTTCCACCTGTTTTCAGTATATAAGTAGATCTTTATTTTCAGTATGTCTCAAAAGGGCTACCCAAGAAGGGCACAGTAAAATTTTACCTAAAGAAGGCCAAGGTGGACTACTCAAAAGGGAAAATGAAAACCCCTCAATATGTTAAGCCACAGGAACATTTACATATAAGAATCAGGCAGACCCAGGTAAGAACTCTGCTCAAGAGGGCGGGGCCTCCTCTATGTTTTGCGCTGGGTCTTGGACCTGGTTGCCACTTGAAGGATTAGGAATAAAGACAAGGACGGGTGTGCAGGCCTTCGTCTTGTCTGCTCTGCAAGCTTTGCCAGTGGAACCACAGAGCCCGTCTGACCAGACGCTTCCCACATCCACCCATGGAATTTTTGCCTTCTGCTCTTTGTGTGCCTCCCGCCTTTTATACCTCCTGTGTGTCCCTGAAGGGAGTGGTTGGCTCCAAGTTCTTGTCTGATTCTAGCCAGAAGCTGTCTAATGCTTTAGTTTGCATTTTAACTATGACATTTATCCTAACCCCCCAGTGAAAACTGCTAGCCCTGGATGTTCTGGGTCCTGGCATTCGGTCCCATCACTGTGCTTGGGAGAGGGGGTTTTCTTGGGTTGAGAGCCCTTCATTTCCCTCTTTCCTCCTGGGCCCATCTCGAGTCTTGTGTCTGAGTTAGACTATGGATGATGAAACGTTTCTCCTTGCGTGGAGCTTTCAGCTGCCTGTCAATGAAAAGGAGACGACAGAATAGAGGCAGGATTGCACAGTCGTGGAGAGCTTCGACTCTGGAGCCGGGCTGCTAGTGTTTAAATTTGGACCCTGCCACTTCCGAGCTGTCCAATCCTGGGCAAGCTGCCCAACCCATCTGTGATTCCATCCCCTCGTCTGTAAAATGGAGCGCATGAGTATCTACCTTATCGGGCTCTTGTGATGATTTCAGAGTCAATTAGTGAAAAGTTTTAAAAATGGAGCCTGACAAATAGAACTCCGGCGTTCTATCTGCCTCCATACTCAGCTTGCTTCCCCCTCCCATCCGTGTTTCACTGTTGACTTCCTGGGTAAAGCTGGGCATTAATTATGGCACTAGGTTCCACGATTGTAAAAAAAGATTCTTAGTAATAAGGACAAGAACGATTTTCTTTCAGATACTGACACCCCCTCGAATGGGGCTAAAGGAGGCTTAGGGATCGGTGTGTGGCTTCACTGCACAGCAGCCCACGCGCAATGTCACTTCCAGAGCTGACACTTAAGTTTGGGCTGTGTGCTGCAGTAGCTCCTACCTAGCCCGTGCTCATCTTTTCAACATGGATCTCTGAGTAAATTAATAGGTGCGGGGACTCTGATGTTTCTCACTAGTTTTCCAGTGGGTGTGAGGTCTGGACCACGTGCCGGGGCACTCACCTATGGAAAGGATAGGATAGCATTTCCGACCTTTTGCTGTGAGAACTGGAGGGGCCCAGGAAAAACCTGTGCTGGCCTGATTGTGCCTCCTGAGCGCCCTCCCCTGGCAGCATCTTCCTAACTTTGAGATGAAGCAGCAGTTAATATTACATGCTTTCATGGTGCTGCGGGATCAGCAAGGTCAGCAGTTCAAACCCACCAGTTGCTCTGCAGGAGAAAGATGAGGCTGTCTACTCCCGTACAGATTTACATCCTAGGAGTCCATCCCTGTATAGTCACTATGCGTCAGAATTGACTCGATGGCAGTGAGTGGGTAGTGGTTAATATTGTCCCAGAAGAGGAAAGAACAAAACAAGCTCAATTTTTGTAACTATCCGCCTAACTGTCAATGATAAGAGTTTTGTGAGGAACATCCAGTTACTAGCTTAGTGTCCTGGTTGTTGGGATGGTGCTGCCCTCTGCTGTTATCTCAGAGAAAACCCACCACCACCGAATGGATTCTCCTTCACAGTAACCTTGCAGGGCAGCGTTTAGGAGGCCTGATGGTGTAGTGGATTACACACTGGGCTGTGAACCATGAGGTCAATAATTTGAAACCTTTAGGTGCTCCACAGGAGCAACATGAGGCTTTCTACTCCTATAAAGCATTACAGCCTTGGAAACCCACCAGAGCAGTTCGACCCTGTCCTGGAGGGTCACTGAGTAGGAATCACGGTGATGACAGCATGCGTTTTCGAGGGCAGAGTAGAACTGCCCCGTAAGGGTTCCGAGCCAGCCATACTTATGGGGAAGAGCCTGGGACGGTGACAAGTTGGGCTGCTAAAGGCAAGATCGGCACTTTGACACCACCAACAACTCCGCGGGAGAAAGACGAGGCTGGCGGCTCCTGGCAAGATATACACTCAGAAACCCAAAGGGGTTGGAATCGACTTTATGGCCATGAGTGTGTTTGTGTTTGTTTTCATCTTGGCAGGAGCCGATTGTCAGATCTTTAACAGAGCAAACGGTGGGTCCAAACTGCGGAGTACTTCACCCGTGCCACCCCATTTCAAATCCGGCCTGTTAGGGAATGCATGTAGAATTGACCAGGGCTTCCGAGTGGGTCCTTCTGGGTCGACCCCTGCGAAGAGTTTCCTGTGCCTTTGGCCAGGTCCAGTTTGCCATTCTGAGAGGTGGAACTTGGCTCTACATTTTAAGAGAAGCCCCTGGTGATTCTTAGGGATCTTGTTAAAAGTGTCGCTTCTTCACCAGTCTATCTGTAGTGGAAAGGCCAATCCTCAGCAGGAGGTGGACCAGTTCGACTCAAACCTATTGCCATTCAGCCAACTCTGATTCAGAGTAACCCTAAGCCTTGACTTCTCTACAAGCCTTTGACCAACAGGGAAGGGCAGGAGGCCCGGATTGGGAAGGGAAGACCTTCTACTCCTAGCCCAGGGCCCCGGTCAGCCTCTCTTCTGCCAGTGCTACCTGAAGTGGAGATTTGCTTGACGGGAGTTCTCACACAATCCTAAGATAGTGTTTAGAAATGTCCTAGAGTTAGAAAATCTTACCCTCCTCAGAGTCCTAGAAGGGTGGGAAACCATTTCTCCTTTTTATTAGGCCCCCATTTCCACCAACTGAGGTATCTTTTCCCTTGATGTCTCATCCCGGGCTCAGGTTCACTCGCACATGTCCCTTTGCTCCCGGCGCTGGGCCAGCTCCTGGTTGCTCAATAAGTAGTCGTCAATGAAGGTGAATATTTCCTCCGGAGTGACAGGTTCCATGTAGCGTTCCCGGTCTATACCCTGCTTGTCAATCAAGACCATGTTGAAGGAAGAGCGGGTGAGGTGCTGAAATTGCCTGGAGAGAGCAGCAGCACAGCGCTGTATGAGACCAGGTTCGGTGTCCTACCCTCTGACCCTTCAAAATGCCACTGTTGGATGCATTCCCCCACAGGCAGTTCCTTGTCCCCGTCCCCTCTATGACCCAGTTCAAGTCCCTTTGTTAGCATCTGCTCAGACCTCTGGTCTTGCTGCCTCTGCTTGGCTAGCTCTGCTAAGCTGCCTCGGTCACCACAGCACGCACAGCTTTGTCGCTACCAGACTGCACTTCCTTAGTAAGCCCTCTGAGGCAGGACTGTCAGGTACAGCTATGCAGGCTACGCTGAGTAGCCCCAAGGGGAGGCGCTGCAGGTGACACCAACTAGGAAGCGACTAGTATTCTCTAGAATTAGGTTAGTTATATCCTGCCAGGCGAAACTTGGCAGCTCTGAGCTTGATCGTATCGAATGTTCTCCTTTCCCTTAAATTGGGACCAAATCTTTTGGTATTCACTGAGACTAAGCCCTAGAAGCAGGTATGGTTATAGAACAGTTTTATTGGCCCTGAGTATATGTGGAGGCATCGGAAAGGTGATGATGGGTAGATAAAAGGAAACATCGACCTCTACCTATGGTCTCTCCCCCGAGGGGTTAATGAATACAGTTCACTTTTGTTGAGGCCTAAAGATTCATTTAGGAGCCTGGTGGTGTAGTGGTTATGCGTTGGGCTGCTAACTGCTAGGTCAGCAGTTCAAAACCTCTAGTCACTCCCAGGGGTGAGGGCGGGGAGATGGGCCTTTCTACTCCTGTACAGAGTTACAGTCTCAAAACCCCCCAACAGAGGCTGCTCTACCCTGTCCTATAGGGTCGCTATGAGTCAGCATCAACTTGACGGCAGTGGGGGTTTTTTGTTTTGTTTCTATAAGGTTAGTTTGACTCCTTTGGAGACTGAAGGCAGAGGAAGGACGTGGAGGCAAAGAGGCAGAGGCTTTTCTGAGTCATGTCTGAATCCACGTGTGCCTCAATTCTGCCAATGCTTTGCGTCCCCTGAGGTGCCTTTAAGGAGCCCTGGTGGTGTAGCAGTTATGCATTGGGGTGCAATCCAGAAGGTCAGGAGTTTGAAACCACCAGCCACTCCGTGAGAGAAAGAAAGGGCTCTCTACTCCCATAACCAGTTACAGTCTTGGAAACTCAAAGGAGGCTGTTCTGTGCTGCCCTGGAGGGTTGCTATGAGTCAGCATCGACTTGATGGCAGTGCGTGTGAGGTGCATGTTCCTGAGGATGCTTGGGAGGGGCCCAGTGGTCTGGTCTACATTTTATACCCATCATTTTGGTCTGATGTCCTACTAAAGTTGAGAATCATTCTCTGGTCTTACCGAAGGCATCTGTAAGCATTCAAGATAAGACATCATCCAAGACAATAGAAGAGTGACTGTTGGTTCTCCCACAATCCCCTTTTGTCAGTGTCTTGCCTAGGGTTTCTGCCCAGCCCTCCCCTGCAGTTTCCCAGCCTGGACCTGAGCTCCTGGATGATATCAGCTGACAGCTGCTGCTCCCGGATCCGCCCCACCTCCTGCGGTGGCTGCCCCACCAGCTCGATGATGGTCACATGACGCAGGTCCAGCCCACAGGTAGATTGCTGGGAGGAGAACATTTCATCAGAGTTCAAGCCTAAGGATACTTGACTGATTCTTCCTGAAACCAACCAAACACACACACAGACACAGACACGCACACACGTGCTCTGAAATCATTTCCAGCTGTTGTTCCTGAAGTAGTTGCCCCATCGATGCTTATACTTAATGCTTCATGCTACTGAAGTATACAAAACAGCTATACCACGTGGAGCAGAAAAAAGAATTCTAATTGATAAATTGCAGAAACATAATCTGCCATTGCTTTACCAAAGGTTTACAATGACATGGGTTCCTAATGAATTGCCTATTCTGAAATAATGGAATAGCCATTGTGTTGCAGAGGGAAGCCCATTGGCACAGTGGATAAGCGCTCTGTTGCTAACCTAAATGTCAGTGGTTTAAACCCACCAGCTGCTGCACAGGAGAAAAATGTGGCTGTCTGTTTCCATAAAGATTTACAGCTGTGCAAACGACATTGTCCTATAGGGTTTTTATGGAGTCAGAATCGACTCCACAGCAATGATTGCATTGATTACTGAATCACACACCCCTAATGCTTTGTAACCATTTAATCCTCACAACACCTCGAACAAGGTAGGTGGTATTATCCTAAATCTATAGATGAGAAAAATGACTTGCTCAGGTTTGCATGACAGTAAGATGCTGAGCCAAGATTCCAAATGAGGTCTGAGACTGCCTGCCACAGTGGTGCTCCTGACCATTAGGCTACATCACCAAAGCCTTTTCTCAGTCTCCAGGCTTTACCCAAAATAATGTGAAAGTACTCTTTTCATTACTCTTTGTTACCTTTCCGGAACTGTAGAGCACACCTCTCCTGCTGCCCTGACTACTCTCTTATCTTGCCTTGTCTTTCAGTATCACCTATTAGCCTTGAGCAGTGATTAAAGACGCATTGAACAATCCCTGATACGGCAGCCCTGATTAATCTTTTTGCTCTTCCTCTCGTCCTGATCTCTGGAGTCACTCTCCGTCCTAGTGGGTTGGTTTTCTTGTTCTTGTTTCCTGTTCAAGTGGAGCTATTGACTTTGCCTGTCTTTTGTGGATCCCTGGAGGAACTTGGTCCTCTTGGTGTAAATCCCCCAACTCATCTTTTTGGTGTCACCGCTTCCTTCCCGGGTCCCAGAATCGTCACCTGGCAACTTCCATCTTAGCTTCCTAATGCTGTAACACAAATACTTCACCAGGGCAGCTTTAAAGAAGCAAAATGTATCTTCTCACATGTCTGAAGGCTGAAATTAAAAATGAAGGTTATGAACTAATCAATTCCTTCCTTGTCAGTAGCCTGGGTTTTTATTGGTTCCTTGGCATCTGTCTTCCCCAGTAGTTGCGTGTCTTGGTGTCCAATCTGCACTTTTTATAACTCTGAAGTGATTAGACCTAGGACACAGCCTACATTGATATGGGTTTATGACATAATAAAGAAAACTTTATTTCCAAACAGGATTATATCCAAAGGTATAGGGCGAGGATTCCAATACATATTTTATGGGGCATATAATCCAATCCATAACAATGTCTAAGATTAAACCTTTAGACATTCCTTTAACTAAGCGTCTTCTGTTACCTGGTGTCTTAGTTATCTCACTGCTACTATTAAGGTATAGGAGCAGTCCCTGTGGTTCTGCTCCTCAGGAATGGCAACCCTAACCCCTCAGAGTTGGGTAGCAGCTCCTTCCTCAATCCCCTGGCATTTGTGAATGGCATCTCCACACTCCAGAACTGAGTTGGTGTAGATCTGATGCTTTGAAACCCAAGAGGCAGTGGCCCCACCCTTTGAGACCCCATAACTCTTGGGTCTAGATCCTTCCTTTGAGACCGAGGCTCTGAGGCCATTCTGTTTCCCATGCATCTTCTCTCTTCAACTCTGCTTCCCAGTTCCTTGACCTCTCGGTCCCTTGGGTCACTTGGGCCTGTGCAGCCTCTGTCCTGCCCAGGCAACTGTTACAGAGCTCTTTGGTAATACCACTAATGCCCAGAGGTACTCTCCTCGGCCAATATGCCTTGACCCAAAGGTACCCAGCTCGCTCACTTTGTGGGGCAGCTTCTAGGTCATCTCACAATGGCCTCTCTGCTATTACTGCTTCTCTGCCCCTGCTTAAAATAAAAACAGTCGCATTGGGACATAATCCACATATCATCCAATTCAATGGTTCAAGCATATCAAGAAGAGTTGTATAATCATTACCACAATCAATTTTAGAACATTCTTTTCTTTTTTTTCCCATACTCTTCTTTCTTGTCCTCATTGTTAAGTTATCTATACTGTCTCCGATGTTAGAACTCTCCTCGTTTCCTTCTGAGCCCTCACTCAAATTCCCTTCAACATCCCTAATGCCACCAAAAGTCTCTCCAAGACCATCTGGGCTTTTATTATTAGGTGCCTTAAAACCTTTTCCATGTCTGCTCAATACCCACGTCCACATTTTAAAGAATCTGTTAGAGCTGCACCCCACACTTGGTACCCAAATCTGTCTTCATTATCTACTGTTGCTATAATGAAAAATATTATAAGCAGATGGGTATAACAAAAATGTATCCTTTCATAGGTTAGGAGGCTAGAGGCCCAAATTCGGGGTACTGGCCCTAGGGAAAGGCTTCTTTCTGTAACTCTGGAGGAAGGTCCTTGTCTCCTTTCAACATGGGCATGGCGTTTCTTGGAGAGCTACATGTCTTTGGCATCAATTCCCTCCTGGGTCTAAGAGGTTCTCAGAGCAGGTACCCTGGGACATGTTACTCCGGATTCCTCTTTCCTTGTAATAAATAACAGGTACCGCATATACTTGTGTATAAGCTGAGTTTTCAGCACATTTTAATGCAGTTATTGTTGTAAAATTAGGTGCCTCGGCTGATATTCAGATCGACTTATACTCGAGTATATACGGTACATCTTTCTTGGCTTGCTTTTATCTCTTGAAAGATGTAGGCTACACTCCAGGAAATTTCCTGGTACTGTGACCCGAGTAAGGGTGTCTCATCTCACCCTAATCCTTTACAACTGATTGGCTGATAACATCCTGGGAATGACAACTTCATTATATAATTGCCAAATAATATCATTACATGCCTATCAAATCCCTGAGAATCGTGTCTGAGTCAAGTCGACATACTTTTGAGAGACACAATTCAATTCATCACATCTGGATACCCAGCCCCGTACAGCTCCCAGAGCTAGTTCTCTTAACTTTGTCAAAGTCAGAAAACTGAGTTCTCTTCAGCTTTCTCGTCTGTTTTTGTTTTGTTTTGAAGTCAAAATGGAAATATCTACGTTGCCCTCTCTCTCACACACGTGGTTTTGGGGTAACTGGTTGCTATTTCTTGTGCTGTGGAGTAGATTCTGATTGATAGCAACTCTAGATAGATAGAGGAGAACCATCCCATAGTGGTTCCCAGGCTGTAACCTTTATGACGACGTCACAAGACCACACAGTGTTTGTTCTGTTGTACAGAAGGTTGCTGTGAGTTGGCATGGACTCTATAACACCTAACAACCACAGCAGTCTTTCAGGAGCAATTCACCACATCGTTTCTGCTGTGCTGTTGCTGGTGGGTTAGAACTACTGACCTTTCAGTCAGCAGCCAAGAGATTAGCCATTGCCTCACTAGGATCCCTTGGCTCTGTTGTAGTATGTTAACACCTCTCAGGGAATTCCTTCGTTCAACTTTAAGACACCACAGAATGTTCGTTCCCTTTCACGTTCCTTCTCATCCTGGAACCCAAGTGCCCGAAGTAGATCTTGGCTCTTCCTCTACTAGCAGAACCTTGGGCAAATCACAATCACTTAAGCTTGCCATGCCTCAGGTTCCTCACCTATAAAATGAGGATAAGAGTACCTGCCTCATAAGAGTTGGTATAAGGATTACATCAATTAATAAATACAAAGCACATAGATCAATACCTGATACTTATATAGTACTCCTATGTAGGGTTTTTGTACATCTTTACAGGGGTAGACAGCCTCATTTTCCTCTTTCGGAGCCACTCATGGATTTGAACTACCAACCTTGTGGTTAGTAACCCAACACTTAGCTGACAGTGGCATCTGGACTCCCTGATACCTCTACAGCGTTCAGCATATTTGTGAGTACAATTATTGTTCTTGAGAACATGAGCATAGTTCATTCTCAGCATGTACATTTGATCACACCCATCTTTCAAGTCTTACCAGACTACTTGGCCACCTGCCTTTCCCATCCTTCCTCCAATCCCCTGTAATGCACATTCACTATTTTTATGACCTCATGGCCTTTTCAGTAAAAACATGGCAGTCTGTAAAATGTGCTAAATCTGCCCTCATTGAACTGATCAAATACTATCCACAACACTTCGCTGTTGCTGTTGAGCAAATGGAGTTTGTGCTGCAGAGAGAAACAGGTCTGAAAAAGATAGGGGGCAACAAATGGGGTAGAGTTAGAGGGCATATAATTGCTAAGCCTTCATGAAGGGAATGGGTCTCACCTGTAGCATAGAGATCTGCATTTTATAATATCGGTTGGAGGGATCTGGAGCAGAGATGATGAGGAGTCGCCGTTTCTCAAAGAACTGATCCAGAAGGGCAGCGGCTGAGTTAACATGAACGTTAATCCTCATAGCTGGGATAGAAGCAGACAGCCAGTAAAGCTATGATCTTCTCCTTCACCCCAGCATGAGTAACTTCACATCTTGATAGGAACCAGACTTGCGGGTTAACTCTGTCTGGTAGTTTCTCCCATGTCTTGGGCGAAATCCTGAAAGAACACCTGGATATTCTCGACCCTCTTCTTCTATGGGAGTCTTTTAAGTAAACACATTTTGCAATTCCCCTGTCCCACATCATACACATTGCTACAGGACCCCAGTGCCATGGGGGGGTTGTCTCCAAAGTACCCCACTCAATATGTCCATTCTCCCCATTCCCAGGCTTGACTCACGAGTGCAGGTGGGTGGTGATCCTGACCATTGGCGACTGGACTGGCAAACTCGGGAGGGTGTTCCTTGGCGCTCGTAACCACTATCACAATAATATTCACAGGTGGCACCATAGTTGTCTCCTGCTGAACTGCAGGCTAGATAGCCGTGCTGTGGTGGTTTCAGAGTTGGGCAGCGTCTCACTGTTAGGGAGGAGCTGAACTTAGTGGGTGTGATGTTTCTCTTAGGAAGGAAAGGCAAAGAGGGTACCCATATTGGACTTTCTAGAATGGGAGGCCAATGGTGGGTGAATCAGAATGAATGACTTCCCTCTCTTTCCAGTGGCCAGGGGTTGAACTAGGCTTGTCCTTTCTTAAGGAATTAAATCTTTCAGACAAAGGTGTTTGTAAAGCCTGGAAACAGTGAGTTTACATAATGTTGTCCAAAGATTTTATACATCTTTTTAAAAATTTTGCCATCTATTTCTTGTTGTAAGGACTTCTACATAAAAAATGACAACCTTACAGAATTGCTTACAATAGCAGAATTAAAGCAGAAGCAACTTAAATGTCCAATGGTGGAAGAAGAGTTCAGCAACTTCTGAGATAGCGTTAAACAACACCACAAACCCACCACCATCCAGTCGGTTCCATAGCTAGGTTTATGGGAACAGACAGCCTCATCTTTTCCCCTTGGAGCCACTAGTGGGTTTGAACTGCAGATCTTGCCATTAGCATCCCAATGCTTATCTCACAGTGCCACCAGGCCTGATAAATCCTTAGAGTAGAATATTTTGTTGGCCTTAAGAGTATTTCTGAAGAACTTTAAAAGAACATGGGAAAATGACGATTGTCATAAGGCATGTAAAAATAGATGCTCTAAGCTAGAATAGGCTTTATAGTCTTAACAATTTTTTAAAAGCATGCATAGGAAAAACACTAGAAGGAAAATAGATCTTCAAAGATTAATGAAATTGCTTCTGGGTGGCAGGGTAAACATTTTTTTTCTTTGCCTATTTTTTTATTTCCCCGCAATGAACATGAATTATTTTTATAATGAGGTAAGCAAAATAACCCCCAGAACCCCAAGATAGCACCAAACAGAAGATTCAGGCAGCCAACCACGCCCATGTCAGCAGAAGTAAAGCCTAAGAATGAAGTCTGATTAGATTTATTAGGAGGTCAAGAAAGAAAAGGGATATAGAGGATCTTCGTGACGTCTATCTGGATTGGGAGACGAGGTGAGTCTTGCTGGGGAATCAAGGTTTCTGAAACGTCTATGCACATGCACTGGAGGTTTTCTGGAGGAGCCTATTTGGTAGACTTGTTTTCCCTCACTTAAAATAAATGATGTGTGTGGCCTTTCAGACCTGGAAAGGTGAGGATTTCAATGGGTTTCGGGAAGGTTCTGACACAGCAGGAATGATGAAGACTGTGGAAATGGAAGAATGCTGACCTTGCACTTTCACAATGAACTTGCAGCTGGCTCGGTTATAGGCTCTGTCATAGGCAGTGTAACGAATCACATGTTCTCCTTCGGGGAAATGAGATCCAGGCTCAGGGCCCCGAAGTGTCACCCTGCAGGAGACAGGGTGAAAGAGCCCCTGAGGAAGGAGCCCCTTTGAATGAAGGTCTGGGATACATCATCCCTGTGGCCTCATCCTGTGCAACTTCTCCCAGGGACCAGGAAGATGGGGACATCCATTAATTGGGCTCACCTGGTGATGGTACCATCAGCAGAGTCTTTCACCAATGGTGGGTCCCAGTATACTCGAGCAGTCAACTTTTCCGGTTCTGCCATCTTCTCCCGTGAGTGGGGACAACGGATCTTGGGGGGGTCTATGTCTGCCAATGTCAGAAATCAAGTGTTGACTCTTGGGTTCCCCTACCTTCTCTACTAAAGAGGACTCATGAAAGCAATACCACGCTCCTGGGTAGGCCAAAAGCGCATTCTCAGTTAAAGGTAACCAAAGAGACAGGTAGGAAGCCTAGCTCCAGGCAAGATGAGCCCGTTGTTAAGCACATACTCAGTGTGCCACCCCCCACAGAGAACAAGACTGCCCTTCATAGTGAGAATTGCATATTCTTTGCATCAGCAGGAATCTTTGCAGCAGGCCGGACCAGGGGAGACCCATATTTACCTACACATACAGGCTCGCCTCCACTCCATCGCCCATCTTCCATACAGACACGGCTGCGGTCACCTTCCAGGTGGTACCCACTGGAGCAGCTGTAGTCACAGCGGGAGTCGAGAAGCGCCCCGTTTGTGCAGGAGTAGGTTCCACTCGTGATGAATGGCAATGTGTGACATCGCACCTCTAAGAGAGAACCAAGTGGCAAGCTCAGTGGCCTGTGAGGCTAGCTAAAGGGGATGCCAGGGCACCTAGCATGGGGAGAACCATTTCAGAGACAGCCAAAGATCCAGAAGCTCTACCCAAACTGCCCTTAAACATTTGTGCCTAATTGCTGTTCTTTTGTTGTACTGCTCTTTAATTTTCATCTTATAAAGCATAATAGCGCTCTTGGGGGAAGCACTCTTCTTTTTGTTTTATCTCAAGGAAGTAAATCACTTATCCAATTTCAGGGCTTTTGGAAGCAGACTTGGGTTTGTGTACCAGCTCCACCTCTTACTAGCTCCGTGGCTTTGAGCAAATGACCTCATAGGAGTTGCCGTGTGTTCTGGTGTACACTGTGGATGTCTCAGAGGATGGTTGTGCAGATTACAAAACTATCACGCATACCATACATAAACCTCTGAAATCAGCTAGGATCTCAAGCAACTGCTTTGGGTAGCTCTCCTGGAAAGAATTCACGGCTCCTTTTGAGTGTAATGTTGAGGCTGCCACCAGCACGCTTCCTTCAGCTGAGGCTCACTGCAAGGAGAAGGAAGCTGGCGCTGTGTGCTGCCTTGCGAAGACAAACCAGACCAGTGCCTTCGAGGAAGCGCTGACGGCATTGCATCAACGAGTCAGCCATGTGCTGGAGACGCTACATGTGCCAAATCCCAAAACTGCCACTATGAATGGATTGTGGGCCTGAATTTGCCAAATTCTTGTTTGAGATACCTAATAAATTAGAGACATAAGCAGGCCATCCATTCCCTAAAAGTTGTCCAAGTTCTATCCCCGCAAAAGATCAATTGTTGGAGCTTGGAATCATGACTCTTGGCTATTTTCATTTTTCTTGTTGGACTAACTCGACTGGAGGTTCCTGTCGCCTCAGTCTTCCCATCTCCCTTAGGTAAAGATCTATGGCAACAATGACCTCCTTCAAATCAGGGCCAAGAAGAAGAGGCCTGGCTCTTCAGAATAATTTATTTAGCAGTTGAGACTGATAGATTCAGCGTGTTCACCCATTTGTCTCCTACAAGAAATGTCTGCACTAGATTCACTGCTCAAATGCAGTAACTAACTCATCTGGCTAACCCATAGCCATTAAGTCAAATCCGACTCTTCATGTCCCTTTAGGTCAGAGTGGAACTACCCCATAGAGTTTCGAAGACTATAAATCTTTACAGAAGCAGGCTACCACATCTTTGGATAGCAGGTCAATATTTAACCTGCCACACCACCAGGGATCCTTAATTCATTCTATTTAAAAACAACCCCCCCCCCAAAAAAAAACCCTCATTGCCGCTGAATTGATTCCAACTGCTAGTGACCCTAGAGCACAGAGCCAAAAGCCTCAACTGTCTCCTCAGAGCAGCTGGTGAGTTTGAACCACCAATTGTGTGGTTAGCAGTCCAACATGTGGCCATCTATGCCACCAGAGTCCTTTTACTTATAAATATGTACTTCTCCATTCTTTCCATTTGCTTGATGTTCATGTTAAATTTATATCCTTATATTATTATTTTAATTTTATATGCTAATTCAAATTCATTTCAGAGATGATGGGGTCTAAGTTCTAAAGCAAGTAGCCCTGGTGGTGTAGTGGGTAGCACTTTGGGCTTCTAACCATGAAGTCAACAGATTGAACCCACCAACTTCCCCAGGAGAGAACGATGAGGTTTTCTGCTCCTGTAAAGATTTATAACCTCAGCAACCCACAGAAGTAGTTCCACTCTGTCCCCTAGGGTTGCTATGAGCCAGAATTGATTTGATGGCCATAAGTAAATCCTAAAACAAATATATTACAGTCACTTATTTACTTTGGGCTACCAAGCTACTTCCCTCCCCCACAGCATCTTTGCTGGCCAATCCCATTTCTCTCATAAGGTCAGTACTTTTCGTCCAGTTATATTGTGTTCAGATGCACATGATCATGTTTCTGTACCATTAGTCTTTAAGCAGCTTGGGGGCAAGTTAGGAATTGAATGAGCTGAAGTGACCTATACAGGGCTGTGCACCCATAGGTGTCCTACAACTGGTTTTCAGCAATGGACAGAAGGACAGGCAATGTTTAATCACTGAAAGAGAGTAAGTAGGCTGTAGAACTTGAACGAGAGGTGGGAATTTGGTAGCTGAACAGGGACATGATTTAGAATATGTGTGTGTATTAGCATTCCCACATTCTACCTTCAAGGATTGCTCTTCTTTATTTACAAAAGAAAATGAAGGTTTCCTAAAATTGTAGGCTAGGGCATATAGCAGTTTACTCCAAGGGAGAAAGAGCCCAAGACCATACATTCTTGGGACCACCAGAAGAAGGTGGTCAGGTCTTAGACCCAAGCCTGACCTCCCTACAAGCCTGTACTCCTGGACTCTCTGGATGGAAATTCCCATATTATTTGGGCAGAGATCATGGAGAGGGAAAATAAACTAGAATGTTAGAATGAGGAAAGGTCTGTTGGATGGCCATGGAAAATGCCCAATTTGCACCTGAGAAAAGGACATACGAACATTTCAAGGTAACCACTGTCTGGCTTCTCTCACATATCTACATCAGCATATGCACAAATACAACTTACGTCTGCAGTAGGCATTTCCAGACCAACGGCGGTTTGGAAGGCATTGCACCGACCTCCGTCCAATCAATCGAAAACCCCGGTCACAGGAAAGTTCACAACGAGTGCCCAGGCTGCTGTGATAATTTCCTCCCCTTGGTGAGTAGCATGTGGCCTCTCCATCCTGCATATTTAATGTATAACACCACTGGGGAACTGTAGCAATAGAAGAAAATAAGCTAGAGGTATAGTAATCACAACGGTATGGTGTCAGTGAAAGGATAGACACGTAGAACAATGGAACAGAATAGACTAGAAATAGATCCACATAAATATACCCAACTGACTTTTGACAAAGGTACCACAGCAATTTCACAGAAGCAAGATAAAACTTTTCAACTCATGATACTTTAGCAATTGGACATCTGGGTTGGGGGTGGGGAAGAGAAACTCTTGACCTAGGTCTCACATATTATACAATAATTCTTTTTTAAAATTTTATTTTAATCATTTTATTAGGGGCTCATACAACTCTTATCACGATCTATACATACATCAATTGTGTAAAGCACATCTGTATATTCATTGCCCTCGTCATTCTCAATACATTTGCTCTCCACGTAAGCCCCTGGCATCATCTCCTCATTTTTCCCCTCCCGTCCCCGAACCCCCTCCCTCATGAACCCTTGATAATTTATGTTATTATTTTGTCATATCTTGCCCTGTCCAACGTCTCCCTTCACCAACAATTCTGTTGTCCGTCCCCCAGGGAGGAGGTTATATGTAATCGATTCCTCCTTTCCACCCCACCCTCAAACATAAACAAATACGAAATGGGAGAAAAGAACATCTTTGCGATACAGGACTGGGCAAAGAGGTCTTAGCTATGACATCAAAAATATAACCCATAAAAGGGAAAATATCAATAAATAGAACCTCAAAAAATTTTTAAATTTTGCTTTGTGAAAGACATTGTTATGAAGAGAAATGTCAGAAACTGGGAGAAAATATTTGCAATCCACATACCTGACAAAGGAATAGTACTAGAGTGTACAAAAAAACTCTCAATACTGAAAAGTGTTGAGTTTTGATTGTTTACAAACAATCCAATTAAAACATGGACAAAAGATATGAACAGTCACTTTACTAAAGAGAGTGGTGGCTGATGAGTACATGAAAAATTATTTAGCATCACCAGTCATTAGGGAAATGCAAATGAAGACAACCATAAAATACCAGTAAATAACTTTAGTACTTCTAAAAGAAACCTGAAAACAGCTAGTAACATCAAGTCCTCGTGAAGATGCCGAGGATTTGGAATGCTCATACAACATTGCTGGTGGTGCCACACATGGCAAAATAGAGTCATTCAGTCTTACTATATAAAGGTTTGCATCCTTTTACCATATGATTCTGCAAACCCACTTCTAGGGAGAGAAATGAAAGCCCAAGTTCATAAAAACCTATACACAAATGTTTGAAAGCTGCTGCGGTCATAATTTCTAAAAGCTGGAAACAACAGAAATGTTTTCTCGTAGAATGGTTAAGCAAACTGGATTATCCATAGAAAGGTATGAAGCACTGGTCTAAGCTTGACTAAATGGCAAGGTGGCCACATCTGACCTCCTCCGGCTACACAAAGGACAGGGAGAATACAGCTCCACAGGAGCCCAAAGCCAATTTCCACAGGCAGAGGTCAGACATGTCTCCACCCTCTATCCTTTACCTAATTCTGACAACATCCATCCCTTCTATGGCATGCTGTTTCTCTGCTGGGGTCCATAATTCATTGCAGTGACCACACAGACTCTCAGACAACACTCACAACTATGGGACTTACTAGGGAAGCTAGCAGGTTACTGAATGTTAACGATATGGTTCTTTTGTCCACAATGCTTCTCAACCATGCTGGCGGGCATGTCTCTATCTGATCCTTGGCCTCTCAGTCATGTGCTACACTGGCCTCTGTTTTGTTCTGTGGGTTGAGAAGCCCACTATTCTGTCTCACAGTCTCGGTGCTGCTCTTCGGCTGTGCCTCATGGTCTCCATGTTGCAGCCTCTGGCCCCTCTGTTCCCTCCACCACTTCAGACAGTGGTCACACACTCTGTTGGTGGCTCTTCTAACTTGATGGTCACAGGATTCTCTCTCCTGTCCCACTTCTGAGATGGCTCACTTATATACCCAGCCAAATGGCAGAACTGATCAGTCCTCTACATTTGTGTTTCACACATACTATTTGTGAAATTCTACCACTTCTCTATCAGCTTGTTGTAATGTGGTGGCATGTATGTTGCTGTGATGCTGGAAGCTATGTCACTGGTATTTTCAAGTGCCAGCAGGGTCACCCAATGTGAACAGTTTTCAGTGGAGCTTCCAGACTAAGAAGACTCCAAAGAAGGATTAGGCTACCCACTTCAGAGGACTTAGCCACTGAAAACCTTATGGATTGAATCGAAACATTGTCAGATACTGAAAAGTTCATGACTATCAGCAGAATATTGTCAGATATAGTGCCAGAAGATGAGATCCTCAGGTCAGAAAGCACTCAAAATATCACTGAAGAAGAGATGCCTTCTCAAAGAAGAGTCAACAATAATGATGTAAATGGAGGAAAGCTGCCAGAGTAAAGCCTTCAGGACCTTAATTTGTTAATGGTGCATGACTCCAAATGAGAAGAAACAGATGCACATATCTATTAATGATTGGAACTTGGAATGTATGAAGTATGGGTCTAGGACAGTTGGAAATCGTTAAAAATGTAATGCAACACATAAAGATCATTATCCTAGGCATTAGTAAACTCAAGTGGACTGGTATTGATAATATTGAATCAGAAAAGTATATGGTTTACTATGCCAGGGGTGACAGATTCAAGAGGAATGACATTCCATTCCTTGTCAAAGTGGACAGTGTGAGATTTATCTTGATGGACAATGCTGTCTGATGGGGTAATATGAGGTGGTACCACCCCCCACAAAAATTACCCTGATTTTTTATCAAAGCTATTTATTTATTTATTTATTTTTACAAAACAACCTTATCACCTTCAAAGTACTCTCCATTACACTTAATATATTTGTCAAATCTGTGATTCCATTCTTGGAAACATTTTTCAAACTCATCTGTTCGATGGCTGACAGATCCTCCCTTGGTTTTTTTCTTCCCCTCTTCTACATCATCAAATTGCTGTCCTTTCATGTCCCTCTTCATTCGTAGACACAAAATGAAGTCACATAGGAGCGACGTCAGGTGAGTAAGGTGCATGGGGCAAAAGAGGCATGCTGTGTTTTGCCAAAAAGTGGTGCACTGAGATGGCTGCGCGAGCAGGTTTATTTTCGTGGTGGCAAAACCAGACCCCCATCTGCCACAATTCAGGTCTTTTTGTTGCACACCGTACTTAAATTTTTTCAGAACCTCAAAATAGAAAGTTTGATGAACAGTCTGAACTGGTGGAATGAACTCCAAATGCACCACAAGTGGACGTTTTCATCTGTTTGGGAAGTTGATGGATGTCCAAACGAGGTTTGTCATCTATCAACATTTCACCTTTTCTGAAATGAGAAAACCACTCGTACACTTGAGATTTTCTCATAGTGACGTCCTTGCAAGCTGTGTTCAACATTATAAAAGTTTCTGAAGTGCTTTTCCCGAGCAGGAAAGAAAATTTCACAGCCGCATGCTGTTCTCTTAAATCAGCCATCATAAAAAATGAAGTTCGAGTGAAGCTGTTTTTACAAAAAAATTTCACTGTGACCAGAGAGAACCTTCCCAGGCAATGTCATTGGGCGCAGTGACTCAGAGCGAGTTGCTCGATGCTTGCCTAGTGCGAAAAATGTGTACTACAAAAGCTCTGGCTAGCGAATCTTTTGTCCATTTTTATTTTAGGGGGGTGCCCCCTTGTAACTATCTGCATCTAGGAAATCAGTCAGTAAACTATTATCCAAATTTGTGCACCAACCACTGAAGCTAGTGATGAAGAAATTGAAGAACTCTACCAACATCTTCAATTGATACCATCAAGATGCACTGAAAATTACTGGCGACTAGAATGCAAAAGTTAGAAACAAAGAGGAAGGAACAGTAGTTGGCCTATATGATTTTGGTGATGGAAACAAAGCTAGAGATCGCATGATAGACTCTTGCAAGAACAGTGAGTTATTCAAGAAAATACCTTTTTTCTACAACACAAAATGGATTTCTCCTGATGGAAGATACAGAATTCAAATGGACTACAGCTGTGGGAAGCGATGAAAAAGAAGCTCACTATCAGAAGCTAAAACAAGGCCAGGGTCCAGCTGTGGAACAGACCATCAATTGCTCAGATGAAAGTTAAGTCGAAGCTGAAGAAAATGAGAACGAGTCCATGAGAGTCCAAATCCAACTTTGAGCCTATCCCACCTGAATTTTGAGAACACTTCAAGAAGAGACTAGCCACACTGGAAATTAATAAAAGAAGACATGATGTGCTGTGGGATGACATCGAGAATATCATACATGAAGAAAGCCAAAGAGCAATAAAAAAGACAGGAAGAAAGAAAAGATCAAAGTAAATGTCAGAAGAGACTCTGAAACTTGCTTTTAATCATAGAGTAGCTTAGACAAATGGAAGAAATGAACTCAAAGGGCTGAACAGAAAATTTCGAAGGGTAGCTCAAGAAGACAAAGTATAATACTATAATTAAATTTGCGGAGACCTACATTTAGAAAACCAAAAAGGAAGAACATGCTCAGCATATGTTAAGTTGTAAGAACTTAAGAAAAAAAATCAAGCCTCAGGTTGCAATACTGAAAAATACTATGGAGAAAATATCGAATGATACAGGAAGCATCCAAAGAAGATGGAAAAAATACAGTCACTATACCAAAAAGATCTAGTCCACATTCCAACATTTCAAAAGGAACATATGATCAAGAACCAAGGGTACCGAGGGAGGAAGTTCAAGCTGAACTGAAGAGATTAGCCAAAAACAAGATTCCAGGAATGGGTGGAATACCAATTTGTATGTGACCTATGCCACGGTATTTCCAATAGCCTTATATGCATGTGAAAATTGCACATTGAATACGGAAAACTGAAAAAAGAATCAACAGGTGTGAATTGTGGTGCTGGCAAAGAATATTGTAACTACCGAGGACTGCCAAAAGAACAAACAAATCTGTCTTGGAAGAAGTACAGCCAAAATGCTCCTAAGAGGCAAAGATGGGGAGACTTCAT